ATGGCAGTTAATTAAATTGAAGTTTTACTACAGATTTAAAATGTAGAATCTAATTTAAAATATATGAGCCAGTTATAAGCTAAATTCCAACATTAAATATTATGGATTTGGGCAAAGAAAGGGAAATTTGGAAGCAATATGTATTAGGAATCCATATGGTTATTTAGCCACTGATGATATTTTATAACTTTTGTATAAACTCCATATGTTCCTATTGCAGCACACCCTTTACCCCAGCTCACAAGTCCCGTTAGATACCAAGTATTTTTGTATTCAGTTACATGAGGTCCACCACTGTCACCTTCACAAGAATCTTTACTCCCATCGAGATAACCTGCACAGAACATGTTGTCTGTAATATTGAATTTAGTGTGCCGAACACATTCCTTTTTGTGTATTTTGGGGACTTCCACTCGCATAAGAAGTGCTGAAGTTGATCCGCCTTCCAAGAGACGCCCCCACCCACTCACTGTGGAGAATTCAACATAGTTTAATATGTCTGCTGCAAATCGAGGAGGTGGCAAGCAGATGGGTACCACATACTCAGAGAAATTGACTGGGGCTGATAAGTGCAGCAAGGCGATGTCATTGTCAACGGTTTTGAAAGAATAATTTTCATGGATTATTAATTCATCAACTCGTCTTTCTTGTTCACCTTCATCTCTATGGTTGAGATGGTATTCACCTGAAAAAAGCAATACTTGATTTATTTAGAAGATAACAACCTTTTCACGAGGCACAAGGCCTAATTAATCTCTTTATCTTCTGGAAGTTAATGAATACAAAAAGTTTTATTTATTTTTTTCCTCTTTTACAATAGAAATAGTTTTCTTTATTTTTTTCCTCTTTTACAATAGAAATAGTTTTATTTCTTTTTTTCTCTCTTTCCACGGACAGTTTTTTAAATCATCCTTTTCTCCTATCGTACTGGATTACTATTGCTGATAGTATTTACTGAATCAGGATATTCTTCCTGGAATATAAAATCTGATTTTGAGGACTCATTTTTTGAGAACTGGGCAGAACATTTCAAACACAAAACTTTGCTTAGCTCAAAATGGCTGTTTCAAGTGTGCCAAGTTTGAGGCATACCCATGTTCCAAAGTTTTGCCTTGACCTTGAAACAAATTGGTACTTTAGTTATTGTTTGCAGTGTGTGCTCAAATGAATCCATTGCTGCTTTGCTATGCTTACACTATATCTGTCTGACTTTGACTGGAAAATATATACTTACAGTAGCTGCTGCTCTCATATCATGGGACTTAAGGTTTTTATTATTATTGTTATAAGGCACCTTGAATGCAATCCCAAAACATCTGGAGCCTCACTTGAACACTATCAGCACTGAAAAGTCACCACCAGTCAATTGCAATGATACCTTTAGCACAAACAAACATTCCCATCCTACCTATCCCAGGTTCTTGGGAAGGACTTGGTAGGTGGACAAAAATGCTAAATCTAATCTAAATATCTGGCTAACTATGCAATGAATCATAATCATAATATTTAATATTTATTTTAAAAACTTCCTCGCCAGTTTTCCAGAGATTGCATTGTAGGTAGTGCTTTGAAAGGGGTACCATCCTACTTATGTTTGTAACCCTAGGATGAAGAACAAGGGAGAAAAGGAGCTTGTTTCAGGTTTCCATTGTTCCTTATTTTGGAATGCTTTTTTATTTCAGAATAGAAACTGTTCAAATAAGTCATATAGCGCTAAATAGTTCATGGTGATGGCCACTTGTGCAGGAGCAATTGATATGAAAATAGATATTTAAAGATATAGGTGACATTAATGGGATAGATCTTCCTGTGTGCTGCAGTAATTTTTCCCTCCTCGATTTCACAGAGTTTTAGAAAGTTAACAAAAACCATCTTACCAAGCCTTATCCTGAGATTTTCTTTGCGGAGATGAGAAAAGCAGTGAGCTGCTGAAATGACCCAGGATGGAGCAACCAGAATACCTCCACATTTTTCATTTCCATTTTCTGTTATGAGTGCCTAAATATTTGATAATCAAATTGCATGATTTGCTTGCGTGTTATGAAGCAGTAATCCAGACCAGAGCACAGATGGACAAGCATTTTTGGGTTAAGGGCCGCATTTAATTTTGTTTGACCCAGGACTACACTCAAAAAGGGGGTAATGGGAGAAAAGGCAGGAGAAGCAAAGGCCTCTTATCTATCACAACATTCTGCATCGCTTCAGTAATTTGTAAATCTGTTTTTGTGCACTATAGACAATAGCGATCTGATGTACATTCTCTTAATGAACCTTGAAAAATACAAAGAAACTGGGTGGATGCCTATACAAATGTGAGTGATTTAACTAATTTGAATTTAAAGTGTGCATTAAATTCTGACAAATACTTACTTGCCACGGACATTCGCCTGGAGGACAGTCATAACCACCCACGATTCTTCCTTGCTGATTTGGCCTTTTTGCCAGAACAGGTATTTTCCCACAGGGATAATCAACTATAATATTATAGTCAGAATAGTATTTCAAAACCATATTAAATATTTTCAAGCTAATCAGTAAGATTTTGAACTATAGTACTGTGAATGCTTTTTAAAGTCAAAACGTGCAGACTTATTCACACAGGCATTTACCCATATACATTCATACACACACAAATAGGCATATACACATAGGCACCCACACAAGCACATAGCCAAAGTTCTAATTTTGAAGCCCCACTTGACATAAATACTGCAGTATTTCACTTAGAATAATAACATCTGTTTGCTGTTCATCTTCTATAGTTTCACGTTCTTAAAGAGTGTCCAACTATGTTCATGTGTGAATTGCTATCTTTTCTTTTCTGTCAAATGAAAAATCAATGTGAAATATACTTCGGTAATTATAAAAATTAACAGTAGGCCAATAGTAAATTTCTCCTTTTCCTTCTTCTGAAACAGTTTTGAGATTTCCAGGTTAGATGACAATATCTGAAAGTGAAACAACCCCCTGAGATATGAACTTCCCCAAACAAGGCTCTTTCTTGTAGAGGGGGAATTGAATTGCAATTCCTAGCAATGCTACTGGCTCCTACAATTGAGGACCAGGTCAAATTGTTTCCAATAAAGCGCGGTTGCAAGGCTTCGGTGGCGGCAGGAATCCGCTTCTCTGTGGGTCCCTGCTGTGCTCGCCGTCAAGGTACCCCCGATCCAACTGGATTTGGGGGTTGTCGCTGCCCTGAAGGGACAGCGGAAGACAGAGGAGATCCGGGCAGGGATCTGGGGACATCGCACCCCCCTTCCCCAGCCGGCTAGACTCCTTTTTCCTGAGACGGTGGAGCGTCTGTCTGCATGGCAGCCACAAAGGAATCTTCAACTGGATAAGATTGTGCAGGAGGAAGACTTAGAAGAAGAAGTTTTCTTGGCTAAACCACGACATTATGTTACTTTAAAACACCCTGGAAACCTGACTTTGGATTGATACATTTGTTTCCAAAAGAATTTGTTACATCGGCGAAAGTGCTGAAGGAAAGCTCACTCCCCCTCCTTACGGAGAAAGCAAAGGAACACAGAAAAACTTCCTCTTTAAAGGTAAAAATAAGCTCTTTGTTATAAGTGGGAAGGGGAGGACTAAAATTTTTTTTAAAAAACTTTGTTGGAGGAGACACCTTGAAGATTACAAGACCATTAATTAATGGTAATACGGCTTTTAAAATACAGCTGGGATTTTGCCTCTGGAGAAAAAACTGTAAAGAGAAGAAGAGGAAAAAAGTTTTGTTTGTTTGGATTGTTTGATAACTCTGACATTTGGAAATTACTTCAAGATTGAAAGCATCTGGGTTGTTTTTAAAAAAAACTTATAATGGTACTATCGGTTGATGAACTGAAAATGGAATATGAAAAATTTAAAAAAAGACAACAAAGTGGCAAGGATTCTTTGGGAGCTGCCTTCCATTTTTTAGAAATGGCGGTTTCTACGTACCAGCAAACACTGGAGGAAGGAGAAGGAGAAGAAGAAGAAGAAGAAGAAAAGGAAGAAGCCATTTTTAATGGACTAAAAAGTTTGACTAAGAAAGAAAATGGGAAGGGAGGAAGGGAAAAGGAGAATTTAAGATTTAATAAAACAACCAAGAAAAAGAAAAATAGGGTGAAAAGAAGGTACAATGTTAGAAAGCAATTGAAAAGAGAATTACAACAGAGAGGGAAACTTAAAAGGGGG